CCCCCCTCCCCCGGTCCCTCTTCCTCCTCCACGTCTTCTTATCCTTTATCCACCCCCGCCCGTCACCTCGTAATCCTCCTCCCCCCACCCCCACCCCCCAGCCCCCTTCCTCCCACCAATCGACAATCCCCCATCCCCATCACCATCCCCATTCCAATCACCATTCCAATCACCATTCCAATCACCATTCCCATCACCATTCCCATCCCCAAGCCCGTCCCCACCAAGCCCGTCCCCAAGCCCGTCCTCATAGTGCGTATGTATTGAAAAAGCCGGGCCGATAATCGCTCGTAAACGTTGTAACGATTCTCGCTCTTTTTTGAATTTGGGTGAGCCGTGGCGCAGATTTATTCGCATTACCGGATGATGAATTTTCTCGTTCGGTCGCGTGAATTATGCATTTACGTATTAATTTATACGATTTATTTTACGTGACCGTCTTTTTTTCTCCTTTTCTCATTTCTTTGGATTTTTTGTTGTTGTTTTTTCTTTCTCGTTTTTGGACGCTCAATCCAAGCGATATTTTTAGAATTAATGGGTGCTTTATGAAATATGTCCCGTAATCATTTAACTTGTCCTCGAGGGTTATTAATTGCTCGACATTGCTTCCGCGAGCAAGTAAGTTACTATTGATTTTCTAATTTTGAAAATGCGAATAGATAATTAATTACGTCAGTGTACGAGGCCAGCGGTGAAGTTTGAGAAGGAGGAGGAGGAGGAGGAGGAGAAGGAGGAGGAGGAGGTCGAGCGCGCCTGCATGTTTGCGTGTGGGTGTGTGTGTGGCGGCATTTAAATTCGAAACGGCTGCATTTATGGCCGTGAGACGGACGATACTTTAGCGAATCTGTCGAGATTGTGTCTGAGAGTGTGACGCGTAAGATGTTCTCCAGGAGAACGTACGCCCGGTCAATACACCCCACCCCACCCCTACCCCCTGGAGGTTCGCCCTACCTCCTCAAAGACGTCCAAATAAACGCCATCCTTCTCGCTAACGGCGTTGCGCGTGTGATGGTAGTGGGAGACGTCGACGTTCACGCCGCGCCTGCGCGGTATGAATCGGTCGTCGGCACTGGCGAGTCGTAGCGGTAAGAGCACGTGCCTCGTCCTCTCAGGCTGATTGTTGCCCCAGGATGCCGGCTGGATCGTCGTCGAAGCGCGTAGTCCCGGGCTCACCTGAAATCACATTAATCGGATGTCCCGGTGTATTAAGCTTGTCCTTGATGTTGATTGGGTAAGATAATGGGATGTGCGCTTATGCGCACGCGATATCGACGCCGAGACTCTTGTAATGCCTACTGTTTTTATGTATTACAAGCGTAAGTAGCGAGGGGGAAATTATATTAATAATCGCTTGGGCTTTCGAGGCGACGCGGAGCGACATTTTATTGACTAGGCGCGCTTAAATTTTATAACAGTCTAATATTCAATCAAGCTTGTACGAATAAATTTGCATAAAGATATTTTGAGTCTCGGTTACAATTATTGTGCCGTTAGTTGCAGCAACAAAGTCTTTCTTACTCGTTATGCATTACAAGAGCAATCTTAAATAATGATGGAGTATATCATTACGTGTATAGAAGTCATGAATTCTTATATTTTTAATTCAGATTTACTCGTTCAGATTTGCGTGTTCTATATTATTGGATAATCCGTGGAATAATAGCCAAACGTCACAAATTGACAAAATGGCAGATAGCAAAATTATCGTCAGCTTCTGGTTTTTAAAATAATAAATGCGTATTGTCGGCGGATAAGATAAAACCCAAAAAAAAAAAAAAAACAAAAAACAAAAAACAAAAAAAAAACAAAAAAAAAAGAAAAGAAAAAAATACAAGAAGAAGAAAAAAAGGCGAAAGACTGAGACGAAAGCCTCGTATCGAGAGTATTAGCGTCTAGGAATATTCCAGACCACCCGGGCGACCAAGGTGGTAAAAAATCTTGATAGCTCCGTCGTGATGGCAATACATGTTCAAAGAGAGAAGAGAAATTAACTTCCATACACGCCCTTGAAATCATCTCCGCGACACGAGGCGTCGCATTTCTCCGCCGACGCTCCTTCATTCTGCGCGAAAAAGTGGAACGACTCGCGGGTGCGCGCGCACAGAAGGAATTTTAAATCTGGAAAAAGGAGAAGGGGAGTCGCGTTTATAAGCGCACCGGCGTAAGGCCGTAATTTACAAGGATCGATTTGCATGCCCATTAAAACACTTATACGCCGTATTAAAATGCATTAACATATTCGCGGCTGATGCGCTTACAGTCTCGTGCGTATGCGCGCGCACGCGGCGCGAAAAATTCCAAACCAGTTATATATATTTATACTCGATGCAACTGCGTCGGGGAACGGAAAGTGAGGAGGGCGCAAAGTACTTTTTTACCTCGTACGATCGCCGATTTTTGTTGTTGCAGCAGTCTTTGACGAGATGCGCGTACAACAAATTATCCCAACCGTGATGTACGCGATGGGAGCGAATGCGTAAAATACCGTAGGGGTGAATGGGACGATTCTTGGGGTTGGCTGGTACGTTTCGAGGATTTATATCGTAGCTAACCGGTGTACTGTAATGAGAAAAGAATTCCTTTTTCACCAGTAATTTTTCTTTTTTGTTTGTTTGTTTTGTTTTATAAATTATAGCTCCGTACTCTCTAGCATTCGTTCGCTTTTAAATTTGATATTCCATGCGGTTAGAATAGCAGTATGTGCCGAAGATGTACGAAAGATTTTTTTAATGGAATACTTGTTTAAAGGACCGATTATAAGGTGAGTCCTTTGGTGTTGTGTCTAAAAAGCCCAACATACAAAATAATGTAATGATTTTGTCGGCCAAGATTTTTCATGCTGAGCAATAAGTAGCTGTAAATATTACAAGTTTATATCTTTAAACAGTTCCTGTCGATAAGATAGTGCGTAAATTACTCACAATCGTCTACTCTTTTCTTTTTAATTCACAATCTCGATTAATACTTTAGACATCTGGGCTATTTTAAGATACTACTGTTACTTTATCGGCATTGGCATCTTTATGTACTCCAAATTGGTGTCTATAGCAATTATCGTATCGATAAATTTTACAGTGTTGTAAAATAGTAACACTATTTTTCTATAATACAATACAACTAACTGCTTAATTAAAGTTATGAGTTCATAAACATTTCTGTGGAAGAAATTGTCCGTCAGCTCATTTTTCTCAATAAAGACAAGCATTAAATTCCTCAACGATTCCATTAAGATTGTTGGTGCAAAACCAGATTTTCCATCACAAAAACCGATATTCAGTAATTCGTAACTCCGGTTTCGTACTGATAACGTTAATGGAATGACCTGGAAATTGTGCTAGCAAATGTGCATTGAATGAAAAAAAAATTAAAAAACAAACGAACAAACAAACAAACAAATAAACAAAACAAAGAGTCTGACGCGAACTAACTCCTGTAACGGAAAAATATTTAGATATAAAGAATTTTAATTAAATATAAAGTATTGATATGGATGACGGTGGTGGGTGGGGGCGGGATGGTGGGGGTAAGTTGGGAGGGGAAGGGGCTAGTGAAGTGGCGCAGAAGGAAATACGTTGGTATTTCTCATCCAATATAAATAATGAATACTGTGTACATAAAATTTAATCGGCGCGACCATAATGGCTGAAAATAAGCAATGGAAAGTCGCTTAATCAGATAGCCGAGCTCATAAAAATAAATTACTTTATCAATAACGTACCAAAAATGTAGTCCTCATGCTCAATAACAACGTTATAACTCAGGAGCACATCGGCCGGTGCATTCCTCCCGCCAATCATCCACTTTTGCGCCCGCGATCGTATTATTTATCCGATCGTTTATTTCTCAATTTCAATTGCACGTGATCGAAGGCCACCATAAAAGCCCCTACCCCGCCCGCAAGAAAAAGCGACTTTTATCCTCGCGCCCGCGCGTACAAATTACAAGCCTGCAATTATCTCATTTGCGTATCTTCGAGAGCCCCGGCGTATCTACGATCGCGAACTGTCAGTTCAGCCCTACTCCGGGGTAAGAAAAACACGGTGGCTAGAGCCGAGAGATAGAGCGAGATATATATATATATATATATATAGAGAGAGAGAGAGAGAGATAGAGATAGAGATAGAGATAGAGATAGAGATAGAGATAGAGAGAGAGAGAGAGAGAGAGAAAGCGAGTGTGAGAGAGAGTATGATAACGAGTGAATGAGGGGGGACCGGGGGGAGGAGAGGAGGGTGGTCAGAGGCGCGATGATTTTTCCCCCGCGACCTTCGTCTTCTGAACGGTTGAAGCTGTTTCTGCAGAGCAAGATATCTGATTTGCATGGAGCGGAATCGTAAAAGTGCGAGACTCTTTCTCCCTTCCGTCTATTGCTGTTTATCCATCTCCGTCGCTCCAGCTGTGCGGCGCACGGCCGAAAAATCGCGGCCGATCTTTTCCCAGACCCCCTGCGACGAGCAAAGTGTGATCGTCAGCTCGCGCGCACACTCTCGGGAGCTTTTTTCTTCTTCCTAATGTGCCTGTGTGCATTTGTATGTCCGCGACAGTCTGCCTGTAAGAGCGTGTGTGTGCGCGAGGGGGAGAAAGAGAGGAAGAGAAGAGAGATAGAGCAGAGAGGGAATCCCGACGATGAATCTTCGCAAATTGTATCGAATGGGGACCCTAGAAATGTCATATCTCCTAGGTTTTTGTCCATAGCATCGTGGACTTACACCCAGTGGAACAATAGTTTGCCGAGCTTAAGTTCCTTCCTTGATAAATTATCCAGTGCGATATGCTTCTTGTCACCAGCGCTGTTTTGCCATCTCCTTTTACACTTCTGTGTCAACGGTCGGCGCTTTATGTACTCCCGTGTCGCTTAATTCGATATTTCGAATGTTCAATAGGCAGACTCGTACGAAAGCAAATCGGGGGAATCCATTGAACATTCAGGACAATTATTAAAATAATTATGTAATTAATTAGCGAGTCAACTTTTTCGCCCATTGATCAATCGGACTCTGAAAGTTTTAAATAAATAATGAGCTCGCTAACCGGGCTTGGGAGAACAGTTTATCACGTCGTATATTTTTTCATTCGAAAATTTCAATGAAAACAATAATAAGACCTGGAGTTGAAAAATAATATAAAAGACAAACAAAGGTTCCCTTAATGCAAATAATACGGCAGCTTTCACATTAACTAAATAATATTCAAATGATATCCGAACGAGGACCTTTAACTTTCATTTATGCAAGTCCGGGTGCGCAGCGCATACGAAATAAGAAGAGAAGCCGCGAAATAAAAGCCGAGTTGTCATAATTCAAAACTGTACGTGATTTTCAAAAAAGCTCCTATCATCGCTTGTGTGCACAATGAGCGGGACGCGCGTGTGCCTGTTTGCATGTGCGAGTGCGTGACATAAGGGAGCGGAAACAAGGTGGACGAGAAGCGAAGTCAAGGCGGTAATCGGCCACACTAGATACAAAGGTCAAAATTAACCTGCATTAGGACAGAAGAGAGAGAGAGAGAGAGAGAGAGAGAGAGAGAGAGAGAGAGATGGAGAACTACAAGACAAAGCATTAGAAAGGAAACTGTTGCTAAAGGGACAGCGGCAGGAGGGAGGACCATTCCATCTCCTTCATCTGGCTTCGCTCCTGCCTCACTTACACTCACCTTGTTCTTTCTTCTTTCGTTCTTGCTCTTTTCGATATTACCGCCTTTTTTTCCACCCCCCTCCCACCCCATTATTCTCCCTCTCTCTATCTCTTTCTCTCGTTCTCTCTCTCTCTCTCTCTCTCTCTGCCATCTTGATTGTCGTGATTTACCTTTATATTTCTCCTCCGTGTTTTTCTTGTTTATCTAATTTATATATTTTAAATTAACTTTTTACATTCGATTACTTTTTTTGTGCATCACGCTTCATTAGACGTAATTAAAAGCTTATGCCAGTCCATAATTTTTTTTATCTTAATTTCTTCTCTTTTAGGTATCCGCTTGCATATCATACGCGCTGCGACTAACGTTGAATTCGCCTACATTGAGACTAATCTTGATTTTTAAAAAATTACAAAATGTTTATATTTTTATTAAAACACATTCTAATACTTCGAGATAAACTATGCGCCGTAAAAGTTACTTCCTCTTTTCAGCCAACAATGATGATTTAAAGTTTCATTCATTTAAATTTCATTCTGCACAAGAGTCTTTGTTTTACCCTCGATATTTAAAAGCTTACCGAGTCTAATAATTTACGAGTACATATGTCTGAATATATGAATTTAGCAGGCATCGAAATGATATGCAAACTGCATTTCTGCGTTTCTGACCAAAGAAGCGATCCGAACGAGGAAAAGAAGTATTATCTCTGCGTGCAGTAATACGCACGACAGAAAGAGAGCATGCACCCGAGAGAGAGAGAGAGAGAGAGAGAGAGAGAGAGAGGTGAGCAAAGACAACAACCGGTCCACTCTTCCCACGGTGCTACCGGACCGGTCAGCAGATGACATCAAACTTGCACACGTGTCGTGCCGCCTCCCAACCGCTCCTCTACACGTATATCTATATAGGGTATGCATCACCTGCTGCAGGATCTTCATATTCTTTTTCGAAGCTACAGAAAGGGTTGACGTGTGTGTGCGTACGTGTGTATATATATATATATATATATATATATAGTTAGAACGAGATAGACAAAAGTAAGGACAAAAATATTCGCAGGAGGTCTACGTGATTTTCAAAGCGCAAATACAGTGCTCAAAAAACCTGAAGAGATTGTTTTGGAGGGGAGCCAACTAGCGATTTAAATTTCAAAATAATTTCACAGAGTATTGATTTTAAATCAGAGTTGTTTTAAACCGAGTTCTTTTAACTTTTTGTAAATTATTTATGACTATTCTTTATATATTTTCGAGCATATAAAATCAACTCAATTTACTATTGATGCGTGTCATTATTTTAGCATAATTTTACAATTATATTAGATATATAATCTTTTGATAAAAAGTCTAATAATAAATGACTTTTAATTCAAATTGAGCCATAATAACTATACTCTTTACTGACAGTCAATCTTAATTTTCTACTCTTTTCTCTCAACACCGAGAGGCAGTTAATCTTTTCTCCTTTTATTTTTATAGGAATCTAAAGATGTTCTAATTGGAAATTTAAGAATATAATATTACATACATAGCAACTATGTTGTACATACAAGTTGTACATTTTCCTTATATCTCATACTAACAATTTTAAGGATATTGTAATTTAATTTAATAAAAATAAATACATTACATAAATCAAGTTATGACAATTTTTAAAAATTCTCTCAATTCATATTTATAATAAATTACGAAAAATTGCCTAAAAATGGTAATATAATTATAAAATGTATAAATTAACAAACAATTTTTAAAATCGTTTAAGAATTCAATATTGTATTATATTTATTATTACATTATATTCAATATTATATTCGTAAGACGTTCGTTACTTATAAATTCAAAATGTCTAATTAAATTTTTCATTAAATTTTTCATTACGTAACGAAACAATAATCTAATTTGAAATTTAAATCAATCCACATTAATGATGATTGATGGTGTTTCCTGTTGTAACTAAATATTATATATAAAGATGTAAAATTTCATTTTCTTACTTGAACGAATAATTTTGCATTCTGTATATTTGAATGGAAAATGATTTTTATCATAACAAATTTTCAATGGAAGCATAAAGTTTTAGTTTTATTAAATGAAAATTAATTTCGTATAAAAGATTTTATATGAATGAGTAGATGGATATTTTAATTATTATTGGTTACTTTCTTATTGTAACCCTTATTTTTATCGTATAAACATTCTATTTCCATTATCATGACATATTAATATAATATTAATAAATATAATTGAATACAGCTTAAAGACATCTATAAATAAATTAATCCGTCAATTTTATCAATGTGCATTGTATTAAGACCAAATGTTTACTCTAATTCGTCATATTTGTTTTTCAATTTGAATTGATAACAATAGAGCAGAAAAATATAATAAATCATGAAATATGCATAATATGAATATTTATAATAAATTGTCATAATCAATTAAAGACGCTTTTTTGTATAACCGAAATGTATGAGGAAGCAACATAATATAAGTTTAAAATTATTATGTAATAATGATTTAAACGTAAACAAATAGAATTTAAATAAAATAAAATTAAATGAAAATTTACATTTACAATATATAATAATTGTTATAAACAAGAAAACGGATATTAAATGAAATTTATAATTGTATTGTGATAATGTTATTTTAAAATTTAATTAAGAAAGAAAAATAATATTTAGAAAAATATGTTACTTTAAAAATTTAATTGAATTACGAGAGAAGAATAATATTTAGAAAAAAATCACATTAGTATTTTATTATTCATGTAATCAATCTTAAAAGAATAATTTTTTAGTAGATAATAATCTCTTGGTCGTTGATATATATCTTGGTGATTTCAATTTGTGCTTTAGAATTTTTGTTTTTAATGAACTTTTACAATGAAAAATATTCCAATTTTCTCTCTTATTGATTCGATAAATAAGAAAAATAATTAATACAGCATTTTAAAATGGTTGTAATTGTGAAATAAATATAATTTAAAAATTACATTTTCCTAGATAATGAAATATCATAATTCAATTAAACTGCAGGGGATATAATTTTTATTTAAAATAAAAATCTAATAACGTTCTTGTTTAAAATATTTCCAAATTATATTTCAAATATTAAGTATAATTAACGATTTAAAGGAAATTAAATATTTAATACATTGTTCAAACACCTCTAATAAAAATATCAGTTAGATAATTTTACTTTTAGTCACATAAACATTGACTAAAATATTTTAAACTAAATAAATAAACATTAATAAGAGAATGTATGAGAAATATATATTATTCAACTTACCTTAGAAATTCCCGATTTTGTTAACATGTCGTTTAGTGATGAATTTTCATGAAAAAAAGGATTTATTTGTACTCCCTATAACAGAATAAACAAATTACTTCTTTCTAAATGAATTAATGATTAAATAGATTTTAATTTTTTATTATCTATTGTTCTTAGTTTTTCGTAGATTGTAGGATTGTTTAATAAAATTTATAGAGTTTCATAATCTGATTTAATCTGAATTTTCATTTTTCATTCAACTTACATCCATAGAGTTGTTGATGGCTCATAATATTATGTAAACTTCGATATTAACAATAATCTATTTGTATTAATTGAATGTATTTTGATGAAGTGCATTGATGGGAACGATATTAAATTAATTGTCTACCTACGATTAATGCAATTTGAACAATAAATCTTCGGCTATCAAAACATTTATAAACGCTAATTTCGTAATAATAATAATAATAGGTGCGTGTGCGCCCGTATGCGTATGCGTGCGCGCGCGAACGTGTAGTTTAAGTTCCTTGTTTAAGTTACCTTTTACATGCACTTTTACCGAATCGTATAACATGACATAAATACTTCTTGGTCGAAAAGAGACATAGGCAGTGAAAATATTCGGATAAATTGTTGAGAATATAATGTTATTCCGTTAGCTGGTTCAAGGAGAAAAATTATTGCGACTAGATTTGTCGCTAAGATGTTGTTTGTCAAGCTGTAGGAATCAATTATGTTATAGTTGAATATGATGAAACTGGAGTCGAGTCGAATAAAATTAGTGTGAAAATTGTGAAGCAATAATGACGAGAGAGAGAGAGAGAGAGAGAGAGAGAGAGAGAGAGAAGAAGGGCGGATATTTTTATACAGTTAAAAGATCTGATTATTGTAAATCATGAATTACTATTATTCCTGTTACAATTATAGAAATTAAATGATATTAATTTTTTGGAAAATTCAGTAATAATTCAACATTTTACTAAGTTAAAATGTATTTTTCTTTATTCTGAAGGAAATAAAGCAATAATGACAAATCGTGTGAAATTATTAGCTTTGAAAAAGTATGTTATATTTTAAGACACATTTTCTTGTAAAAATTACAGGTTTTTTATATTTTAACGGAAATAGTTTTTAATCGATACATCGATCTGCGTTTTACAAAATACGCATCTATTAGAAGACTAAAAACGAATATGGAATTTAAAAAAGAAAATTGAAAATTGAAAATAAATCATGATACAAAATTCTCGATGTTTTAAATAAAATTCATTGTTGTGTTGATAATATATGTGATTAATTTTTTGTCTTATGCCGGTAATAGTTTTAAATTAGGATTATCAATGCAGTTAAATGAAAATTGCCAGCACGCCAAGAAAATCGTATATTCTATATAGACATGGTTGCAGGCACTTGGGGCTAAAATTTATCCCACGTGTACGCTTACGAATTCGTAAAAATAATTAAAAGTGTTTGGTGAAACGATATTAAATTACATTTTTTGAAACTAGACTTGGCTTCACTGAGCACGAGTCAAATCGAAATTCGGATAATGCGGTGAGGTTGATCGAAGGAAGGCGAGTAAATAAGCATTTAACAATGGTCTCGCGAGCGTGAATTTTCTATGAAAAGCCAGAGATAGGCGTTAGAGCAGTGTGCACGCGCGCGACAAAGAAAGAGCGATTGAGAGAAAAGCGATGGCGCGAGGAGGGAGGAGGGAGACAGATAGCGTGCAAAATATCTCACGACGATGCCAACACGCGAAATTAGCATACGAGGATAGGAAGAGCGGAGGAAACATGTATGTCAGGGCGAGCGATCGGTACACGTTTCTGTGGGCGATCCGGGTTATGTGCGTGCCTTCGTGTATTTCACTCCCCGCGGTCCCCGGGACTCATCGACCGGGCCCTTCTTCTTTCTCCTGGTCCGTCCTCCGTCGATGCACCTGACTTGGAAATGCCGACCAGTCGCCCGCGCAACAACCGGTAATCATAAGGCGTCACTGCTTTATTTTCACAAAAGTCTTTATCTTATTATTGTAATTTATTGGCATTATTTATATTAAAAAATGGCGCTCCGACGACGAGCTGAATATATAAATTTCAAGCCGCGCATTTGGAAAATAATCATCTGCATTCAGCTGATAATATGAACTCTTTTGATTGATTTTTTTTTTCTTACTTTTTTTTTTCAGCCACGATTCATAAATTAATTATCGTGCTCGATATAGTTTTGAATGGATTAACGTGTAATTTATGTTGCATATTAAATATTTGTAAAACCGTTGTCGGATACGCATTTTTCAGTTATTATATACCCTTTCCAATATTAAATAGAAAGTATTCACATATGTTTTATGATCTATTACACAACTCGTTTATGTGGAAATGGAAATTTCCCTGGTTCAATAACTTCCATTCTATGCATTATTTAAATTTCAACATTTTATAGAATTCCAAAAGAAAACGTATTAAAACTAGATTTTCATGTATAAATTCAACATTGTCGATTCATAAAAACGTACTTTATAATCAGTTCAATTTAATATATAAATCTTAATGAGCACGGAGCCTCCTTTGTTATTAATGTTTCTAATTTCATTGAAATAAAGTATCAGAGGGATATAAACTAATTAGTTTGATATAATAATAAACAAGGAATGAATTCTAGTAGTCGATCAGAACTTCACGTAATATACCTCAATAATTACCAGTGCGACGATTTATGAATTACTCTCTAAATTTATAGACAAATGAATTAATCGATATTATCCTAATTAATCACTTCACTTCTAAAAACTAAATTGCCAATACAATTATCATCACGTAATTATTACACTTGAAAGAAAAAGTTAATACCGATAGCTTAAACGTACTCGCGATAAATTCTCTCTATGTAAACGCCAAACTTTTATTATCAATTCATTTCACTACTTGCATTTACATGAACGTATATACTCGCGAACACTTACACACGCGGACTTATATATCCACGAGCCAGAAATATAAATATAAACGCGAAGACATAATATATATATTATCATGTGTAGCGAGCGTGGACAGAGAAATTACCATCCTTTTAAATCTCTAATTAAATAAGAAGATTGGAGTTGTAAAGTAAGGCAGCGAAAAACTAAAGCCCGATAAGAGCGAAGAAAATAGCGAATATTTAAATGATTTGTAAATTGTGCTTCCAGAAGCTTTGTACATCAAATATATCTTAGTAAGCAAGACACTTCGCACCATTTTCATACATCTCTAGATGCCTTGTAAAAAATTGCTCTTAATCGTTCAAAAGCCAATTTCTTCTTTTATCAATTATTGAGCAAAAAAAAAACAAAACAAAACAAAAAACAAAAAACAAAAAAAAAAAAAAAAACAAAAGAAAAAAAAAGTTTTCGTTTTGTTCGATAAGGTGGCTCGAGCACGAACGGCAATTTATATAATATTTTATTTGGCTTATTTGGCTTTAAGGGCGGATGACGGAAACATTGAGCGGGACAAGATAGTACATTATGTCAACATCTCTTTTTTTTTTCTTCTTCTCCTTCTCCTCTTCATTGACTTGTAGAACTGTTGTTGGTGTATAGTTATACTATACGATACTGCCTTAAAAGTGCCTGCTTTAACTATTAAAAAATATTCTTATTCCACGAGGAAAGTGAAATTTTTCTTAATCAATACGATTAACAAATACCGATCCTATTTAAAACTACAAAAATTTAATGCTATGCGTAAAGAGAATACAAACGATAAATTCTAAACCGCAGCAAACACGATTTCGCCTTTTCGCAATACACATATGCGTAGTTTTACAACTATCCTTCTCCAGATATATCGCTTTTATTGCTAAGCGAAACTGCGATACATACAAGACGATTTTCTTTATTGAACTCTCATCGCTCGGAGAACACAAATTCCGTGACTCGAGAAGAATCGATATCTTTCAGAGGTTGCTTCTTTCTTTTATTTTCTTATTAAATTTATACGAACCAAATACATAATTTATAGATACATTATGTGCCTATTTGTATTTATTTTAATGCTCTTTCACTCATTACAAGTTATTTATCTTGTTTAATATTAATATACTTTTTTCATAGACAATTGGCTAAAGAATTTTTTTGTGTTTCAACTTCATGCATATAAAGCTTAATTGACGTGTAATTAATTATTGCGAATGGAGGATTAGGCATAATATATTTCAACTAGAGGATTATATTTTTATAATTTCATTTATTTGAAATTATAATTACATACATTGGCAAATATTAGAGGTATTTTAGGCATTTAAAGTGTCTTTCACCAATAACAATACAATTTCTGAGATTGAGTTTTATAATATTATAATTTATTTTTTTTGTTTTTTTTTTTTTTGTTTTTTCTTAATTACCTATATATATATATATATATATATATATATATAATATTATATATCTATAATAGTTCTTTCGTAAAATAAAGCGTAAAAATAAAAAGAGTTTGTAAGTTGCCAAATAGATTTTTGTATGAAATATAATGGTATTTACCTAAATTTCTTTTCAACCGTAATGACGATTTTCTATCGATCACATTTATACTACTTAGTGTCCCTTAACGTCAAACGTTAATTAAACATAGATTGATAAAAAGATAATTGATAATATACAAGTGAGATATATTAATATAGACATAGTTTATGTTTTAAAATAAAATTATCAACGATACAAAGAATTTGTAGATGACGTGTCGCGAGTGGTTATAACGACAGACTAGATTATTGAATTTATTTTGTTGTTGTTGTTGTTACACAGCGAAGGCGACTGTTGTAATACGAAGCTTGAAAAATTAATAAAATAATACTCGGCATTAGGAGCAGAGGCTGTAAAGATTTTCAATTAAAACTTACGTTATAATTTGAAGTGCGATGATAGCAACTATTATTATTCTTTACTAAAGAAACTCGTACTTGCATATATAATTTAATGGCTTATATTTCATAAAATAGCTGAATGTATTTAGTATCAAGCTAAGTAAAGTTTATTTATCGCACTTACAACATCTCCGCAAAAATTAAGTCCATTTATTATTAATTAATATCTTATAATGA